CACCACCACCACCACCGATCTGTGTGCTCAAAACAGTCCTTTAATGCTAAAGAAGCCTCCTCCATCCACACCTTAACCGGTTTGGTGATTGGTTTTGTCCTGCAGATCAGCTCCACAGAGATGTGATCTGACATGCCCAGGTGTGGAGCTGCTATGGCCTTGTATGCTCCCGGGATGTTGCAATAAACTTGATCCAGAATATTATTGTCCCTAGTTGGAAAGTTGATGAATCTGTAGAATCTGTGAAACACTGCTTCCACATGTTCCACATGGTTAAAGTCTCCAGCCACAATCACAGCTATTTCTGAGTTTGCATTCATCTGCCTGCTGATCAGGGAGTACAGTTATTGTCTAGTCATACTGTCATACTGTCATGGGTCAAGTGTTGATCAGAGTGAGAGCCCGGGGGAAGAAACTGTACTTGTGCCCGGTTGTCTTGGCGCAATGGCATACAGTGACCTGTAACGCCGTCCAGAGGGGGGGGAGTTCGAACAGATTATGTCCAGGGTGTGAGGGGTCTGCAGTGATCCTCTCTCTCCTCCTTTTGACTCGTGAGGTGTACAGGTCCTCCATGGAGGGCAGGCTTGCACCAATGACCTTTTCTGCAGTCATGACTGTCCGCTGAAGTCTGTACTTGTCCTGTTTGGTTGCTGAGCCAAACCAGACAGTGATTGAGGTGCAGAGAACGAACTCGATGATTCCTCTGTAGAACTGTATCAGCAGCTCCTGCGGCAGGTTGAACTTCCTAAGCTGGCACAGGAAGTACATCTTCTGTTGTGCCTTCTTGGTGATGGCGCTGATGTTGGATGACCACTTCAGGTCCTGGGAGATGGTGGAGCCCAGGAACTTGTAGGACTTTACTGCTGATACAGTGCTGCCAAATATGGTGAGGGGGGTAAGGTGGGGGGGGCACTTCCTGAAGTCCACTGTCATCTTCAATTTTTTTGAGCATGTTCAGCTCCAGGTTGTTGCGGCTACACCACAAGACCAGCTGCTCAACCTCCCATCTGTAGGCTCATCATTGTCTCAGATGAGACCAATGACCGTTGTGTCATCAGCAAACTTTAGGAGTTTGACAGAGGGGTGCTTTGAGATGCAGTCGCTGGTGTAGAGTGAAAATAGCAGAGGGGAGAGCACACATCCTTGAGGGACGCCTGTGCTTATTGTCCGGGTGCTGGATGTGGCGTTTCCCAGCCTCACCTGCTGCTTCCTGTCTGTCAGAAAGCTAGTAATCAACTGACAGGTGGGGGCAGGCACAGTGAGCTGGGTCAGTTTGGAGTGGAGGATGTCCAGGATGTCCGGAAGTCCACAAAGAGGGCCCGTGCATAGGTCCCTGGGGAGTCGAGGTGTTGCATGTGCCATGTTGACTG